GATGCTTAACCAACTGAGCCACGCAGGCACCCCTCCTCTGCTCATTTTTAATTGACATTTATTTTTCCATTTTTGAGTTATATGGCTTCTTTGGATATTCCTATATAAGTTCCTTATCAGATATACGACTTGCAAAAAAAATTTCTTATTCTGTATGTTGTTTTTCCGCTTTCTCAATGGTGTCCTTTGAAGCACAAAAGTTTTTAATTTTAATGATGTCTAATTGATCTTTTTAAATAATTTTAAATCTTATGGGCACCTGGGTGGCTCAGACACTTAGGTGTCTACCTTCAGCTCAGGTCATGATCCCAGGGTCCTGGGATAGAGTCCCACATCAGGCTCCCTGCTCACGGGGAGCCTGTTTCTCCCTCTCCCTCTGTTCCTCTGTCTGCCTGTGCTCTCGCTCTTTCTCTCTCATATAAATAAATAAAATCTTAAAACATAAATTTGGATCTTACATTTAGGTCTTTAATTCATTTTGAGCTGATTTTTGAATATGGTGTGAGGTAGCAGTACAATTTAATTCTTTTGCACAGGGACATCAAATTGTCCTGGCATCATTTCTTGAAGAGGCTGTTTTCCCCTATCGAGTTGTGTTGATATCCTCATAAAAAAAAATCAGTTGATTGTGAACATAAGGGTTTATTTCTGGACTCTCAATTCTATTCCGTTGGTCTTTTTTTTTTTTAAGATTTTATTTATTTATTTGACAGAAAGAGACATAGCGAGAGGGGGAACACAAGCAGGGGGAGTGGGACAGGGAGAAGCAGGCTTCCAGCAGAGCAGGGAGCCCGATGTGGGGCTCAATTCCCAGGACCCTGGGATCATGACCCTAGAGCGAAGGCAGATGTTTAACGACTAAGCCACCCAGTCGCCCCTTTTCTGCTGGTCTGTAGGTATAGCCTTTTTTTAAAAAAAAAAGTTTTATTTATTTGTTAGAGAGAGTACAAGCAGTGGGAGTGGCAGGCAGAGGAGAAGCAGGCTCCCCGCTGAGCAAGGAGCCGGATGGGGGACTCTATCCCAGAACCCTGGGATCGTGACCTGAGCTAAAAGCAGATGCTTAACCAACTGAGCCACCGAAGCGTTCCTGCAAGTATATCCTTATGCTGGTCCCACACCATCTTGAAGGTAACTGAATTTGAGCTGGGCCAAATTAACTGGACCTGGGAATACAGAGTCACAGAGCTTCCTTATCTTTCCACAGTGCTTTAGAATTTTCAAGGTGCTTTCATACACATGAGATCACCCAAATCTTGCAGCAACTGAGAGAAAACATGGACGCTCAAAAGGCTTAGTGGTGTATCCCTAGACTGACTCAGCCAGAAACAGTGCCCAACCCGTCACGTGCTCTCATTACCCTGGCCCATCCCCTCCTGGTTGAGTCCAGAAATTTGGGAGAAGGAAAACAAAAACAAAAACAAAAACAGAGAAAAATTAGAGCCAAAATGACAGGAAGTGTGCAAAACACACCAATTATACATATTTGGCTCCTAATCAGCTTATGATAAAATTTCCCTTCTCCTGTATGGACAAGACATGAAATGTTCTGGGTAATCCATGGGTTTGCTTGGGTCTTTGCTCCTTCAAAGAATGAAAACACAGTGAAATACTCTCAACACCAAAACCACATGGACTGTAATTTAATCTTTAATTTTGTTGTTGTTGTCATTCTAGAAGACTCTTCAGTGTATTTTAAAGCAATGTTTCTTCAAGAGTGGTCTGAAGAAACCTCAGCTATCGGCATCATCTGATAGAGGCGCTTGTAAAAAAAAATGCATTCTTCAAAGCTCCCAGGCACCCTGTGTCAACTGAGAATCACTGGGTGATTTTTTATGCACATTAGGGTTTGGGAACCACAGTTTTAGAGCAATGAAAGTCAAATTATGAATATCTATTATCATTGCACTCAAGAGATGCAGACATTCTGCTTAAAAGAGAGCTCTGGATCACAACAGTAGATTAATGTACCTCATTCCTACAAGTCTTTGCTAAAACACCACCCCTCCCTATAAATTTACTGATTTAAGATTGCTTATCAACCTCTTCTCCATGCCTTCCAATCTCCCTATCCCCCTTCCTTTCTCCACAGCACGTACGAACATCTGACATATTATTTATTTACCTATCTATCTATTTACCTGTTTGTTAGCTGACTTCTGTCTCTAGAAAGCAAGTTTCACAAAGGTAGTGCTAGGAATACGGCATTCAAAGTGATGTCTGGCTGGTCGTGGGTGTTCAATAAATATTTGTAGAAAGAATGAAGGTACCAACTTGCATCAGAGTGCTTGGGCATAATGTCATTTGTCCCTTGGGTTTCTGGAAAGGATTTTTTTTTTTTACACTATAAAGCAAATTATTCTTTCCTTCTCTGAGTGATGCTCGGTGTGCGTAGTAGGAGAGAGAAAGAGCTGGAACGGCATCCTCTAATCTCCTAATTCTGGAGTCTGGGCCGGTTGCTCTGAAGATCATTTTTCCTTAATACCACTGAGATCCTCAATTTACTACAAGGATCATGCATTTACAGCTGCATTGTCCTATGAGGGCTACCCCTACTGGGAACAAAGTGGACTGAAGCAGCTAGGCTGAGATGAACCTATGGTAGCAGGAGACTTCTGTAAGTCCACTGTGCCTCAAACCAGGTAGGGACAACAACTAGATGAGATGCTGCCCCTTCTGAGAACCTGAATGAGAACGCTAATCAATGGATCCTATCTCCTTGTACCATTCATGCCACCTTGGCTGGCTCTAAGTTAACGACCCTTACCCGCTTCCTATCCTCCAAGCCACATGTCCAACAGCATCAGCACACAAATCAATGCTCACTTGCCCCCAGCCCTGCCCCGCACCTCCCCATTTTGGGCCCATTTTACCCACAAGGGACCTGAAGTTTAGACCTACCAATAGCCGGTTCCCTAACACCAGATTCGCTACCTGCTGACCCTCATCTGTGTCACTCCCAGGACACACCTGATATTCCAGTTTGCAGTGAGATGGTGAGAAATAACCCTGGGTGAGGTGCCCTCCCCCACCCCCAGTCCAGGGGATGCTGAGAAGCTGTGGGGTAAGTAGGACAATAAAAACAGGAAAAAGCAAGTTTGTTTCTAGTGTTATGCCCACAGGGTAGCAGGATATACCTGCTGAGTGTTCCCAGAAGGTCCCCAAGGAAACCATTAACTTGAGTCTCTCACTGTTCTTACTTGTGGGGTGGCTTGGGGGAGGGGGAGGGAAGGTATACTAAGAAGAGGGGGATGGGCACCGTTCCAGAGGTCAGGGTTATGCCGCACAGAGCTGCTGTGCACATTAATAAAAGGTAGATGACTGAAGGTTGGATGTCAGGGTAAGCAGCAATGGGTTTGTCATCTAGGGTTGTCACTGGGTTACATAGGGTGGATTTAAGGTAGAGAAGGGGGAAGGAGTGGGAGGTGAGTTGGGAGGGAGAGGCTCCTGTGGCAATGAGATCCCTAGCAGGGATGGGGGGTGTGGGGGGAGTGGCTCTCTTGGCCTCCAGCTTTGACCCTTTCTTGGCTGGTCTCAGCCAGGGAATTGAGGAGAGGAGATGGGTCTGACGACCTGGGGACAGGGAGGGTGGCCTCTAGCTCTGGAGCTGATCAGAATGGATATTAGGGTTCCCGGACTGGAGGGAGGGAGTTTTGGGGGAGGGCGAGGTGGCTCCTAGGAGCCTAGGGTAAAAGTATGGGAGGGGATCTCAGAGACTCAGGAGATGGAGGCGTAGGGAGGAGGAAGTGAGAAGTGAAGGCGTTTGCCTTCTTGGGGAGTAGGTCTCAAACTGAGGCGGACTGAGAGAAGTAACTCCAATCGCAGTGGGGAGGCAGCTGAGGTGAGGGTCTTCCAATCCGATGGGGCTGGGCTTAGAACTCTGCAAAAGAGTGGTGGGGGGTCATTCGGAGAGGAAGGTGCACAGCTGAGCCGGCGGCCTCCTAAACTGGAAACCGGAGGTTCTAAGCGGCACTGACCTCTCCCCCAGCCTCGGTGGGGAAGCGGGTGAGCGTCCGGAACCGGCTTTCCCGAATCCAAACAGAAGTCCGAGTAGGGCTGACAAGTGAGCCAGGAGTGCGAGAAACAGTGAAGACTCCTCACACTGGGGGGTGCGGGTGGCATTAAACTGGAAACCCGGACTTGAAATTGGGGGGGGGTCCTCAATAGACCATACAGGAGGGATTTGGGGGAGCTGATAAGTACAGCAGGGGCCGAGAAGAGATTCAGGAAACTGACACGGTTTCTACTGGGGTGCAGATGGAGTCTTCCCACTCGAGACGCGATGCATTGGAAGGGTCCCCCAGATTGGATACAGAGGATATGGGACACTGGGAGTGGGCTGAGGGCGGCTGAGGGGCAGCCCTGAATCAGGCTCTGAGGAAATTGGGGGCAGCTTCTCATTCCCACTGGGGGAATGGAGGGCTCTTCACCAGTTGGAACGCGGGGCGCATGGAGGAGGGCACTGGGGCTATCTCCCTCCCGACCCAGGGAGATTGGGGAGCTCTTAAATTCTGTATAGCGGGGACCCTGAGAGGGAGGACTAGGGGGTTCCCGATCCGGAACCGAGCTACCTTGAAGGCACCGGGAAGCGCTTCATTCCGGGAGGGCGTTCCCACGGCCCGGCCCCGCGCTGGGGTGGGTGGGGGGTGCGGCCGCGCCCTGGTCCCGGCCCGCCTCGGGATTCGGGGTCTCTCTCGCTCTCGGGAACCCGGGAGCCTGGTAACAGCGGGGTCCGGACGCCGCCGCCTCGGCGGGCGCCCGGGTGCGCGGGCGAGCGCGGGGCTTTATGCGCGCAGGGCGGCGGGGGGAGGAGCCGGCAGGTCGGCCCCCGGCGGGCCCTCCCCTCGGCCGTCCCCGCCCGCCCGCCCGAGCGGGGTCGGGGGAGGGGGCAGCATGGCCTGTCCGTCCGGCCCCCTTCGCCGCGCTCCTCATCTGCCCCGCGCCGAGCGCTGCCGCCGCCGCCGCCGCCGCCGCTCCGCTGCCCGCGCCGCCCGCGGCTCCCGATGGAGACTGACGCGCCCCAGCCCGGCCTCGCCTCCCCGGACTCGCCGCACGACCCCTGGTACGGCCCGGCCCGGCCCGGCCCGGCCTGCCCGGCCCGCGCCCGCCCCGGCCCCGCCAACATGGCCGATCCGGGTCGGGCCGGGCCTCCCCGGGGCCCGGGCCCGCGCCCCCTGCGCCCTGGCGCCCGGCGCTCACGCGGGCCCTTTGTGTCTCTCCTCCTCCCGCAGCAAGATGTTCATCGGGGGACTCAGTTGGCAGACTACGCAGGGTGAGCGAGCCCGGGAGCGCCCGCCGGCCAGGCAGGGCACCCTGGACCCCCCGGCGCCCCGGAACCGGACACCCCAGCCCGGCCCTGCGCCCTGCTGACCCCGGGCGCCCCCGCGCCCTCTTTCGCGCCCCGCCCGGGGACCCCGAGAGCGCAGGGCGATCGGCAAGCGCGCACGGCCCAGCGGGTGGAGGGGAGGAGATGAGGGGTTCAGGGGGCATCGGGGGGGTGGGCTGGGCCCCCAGGACCCGCCGGCGGCAGCGCCAACTCCGCTCGCACCTGCGGCTCAAACTTTTGTGAGGCGGCTCCCGGAGCGGCGGGAACCCGGCCGGAGCCGTCCCCCCTCCAGCCCAGCTCGGCCCTCGGCTTCCTGGAGCCCCCGTGGGCGCCAGAAGGCTCCACGGGAACTGGGTGAGGGCCACGGGGTGGGGGGGGGCAGTGGAGAGTGCGCAGGCTGCTTGGCGCGGGGGCGGCCGGGCCGCGGCGGGGTCACCGGGGGCAAAGGACGGGGGAAGGGGGGAAGGGCGCGGGCCCGGAGCTGGTCCGAAGGCGGGTGTGTGGTTACAGAAGGGCTGCGCGAATACTTCGGCCAGTTCGGGGAGGTGAAGGAGTGTCTGGTGATGCGGGACCCTCTGACCAAGAGATCCAGGTGAGCCCCTCACCCCCTCCTCCTGCTCCCGGCTCGCCCCCCTCCACCGCCACTCACTGCCTTGTAACCATCTGCCTCTCCCTCACTACCGCGCGCAGGGGTTTCGGCTTCGTCACTTTCATGGACCAGGCGGGGGTGGATAAAGTGCTGGCGCAGTCGCGGCACGAGCTCGACTCCAAAACAGTGAGTGGCCCTCCGGGCGTCGGGGGTCCTTTGGGAGAGGGAGGCCGCCGGAGGAGAGGGTCAGGACTCTCCCCAGAGGACAGTTGGATGGGGTCCTTAAGGAAGGAAGGAAGGAAGGAGTTTTCTGAGTAGAAGGGCTACCAAGCTCCGAAACTTTGTCACTAGAGTCGGGGGTGGTGGGGAGAGGAGAAGAATCCCAGGCCTGCGGTGAGATGCTAACATCCCCCAGCCCCTCCCCGTACCTACTAATCTTGGTGCCTCCCGGAGCAGCTTGGGGTGGGGCTAGGTCCCTCCCCTAGCCCAGACTGGGTGAGTCAGGGTTGCAGAGACCCACCCCGTGGCTTCTCTGGACTCTAGTATTTGATTCCCCACCACCACCGTTCCAAACCAATAGCAAAGCATCACAGAGTCCCCCTCTCCCCCCCTCCCCTTTTGGTCTATGAGATCCCCGCTTTGTGTGGAAGACAGGAACCTGCTTTGCCCGAGAAGGGATTTATGAGAAGGGGACTAGCTTGCCTGGAAACAACCCTTCTGAGGGCTGGATCCGAGGAGAGGCTGCTTTTCTGGCATTCAAACTCCTAAAACATTTTACTGCTGTCCCACTGCTCCCCAGTGTCTTGGGCCCTCCAGGGGGCGCTGGCCCAGGCCCCTGCTCTAGGGGAGAGGGAAAAGGAGAAAGTCAGAGGAGGGGTTACTCTGTGATGGGGTGACCGGAGGCCAGGGGGCTGGGACAGTGTGATCTCTCTCCACACTCCCCCACTCTCCTCCAGCTCTGGGCCTCCCTGCTTGGGTCAGTCCCTGGCTCCTGTTTACCTGTAACAATAGCTGGTTGTGCCCAAGAATTTGCTAAATTACCGCCTGTCCCCAGCTCCTGTTATCTCTGCCCAGTGGCTCCCACTCCTGCTCACAGTAATGAGCAAATGAGGCCAGGCCTCAACTTTGCCGGCTCTGAAAGGATCTTCTTGGCGCAGAGTGAGTGACCCAAGCTGGGAATGGAGAGACAGTGGCCTATTGTTTTTGGTGATTATCTGCCATCAAGCTGCCAGTTCTTCTACCATCCCCTGTCCTCAGAATGCACTGATGGCTTCAGCAGCGCTCAGGAAGCTGAGATTTAGGGACTGGGGCTTGGGAGGGGGTCGGTGGGGGTGGGTTAAGGAAGATTGATAAGGAGAAGAGGGAAGAGGGAAAGGAGGGTGTGATGGGCATCCTTCTGGGGTTTGGGACTCAAAAAGGCAAGGGCTTTGTGTTTGGCATTCTCTGGCCTGGGTCTGGGGGGGTGGGTGGGAGGGAGGTTTATTGTGGGGAGTCTATTTTGGGTTCTGGCTTTCACCTTTTATTTACTTGTTGGGTTTTATTTATGTTACCAGCCGTGAGTCAGAGTGGAGGTGGGGTGTGTCAGGGATCGGGTGTGCGTGGGTCTGTGGGACGTGGCTTGGGTACCATCTCCCCATCAGGGTCTGCGCAGGGGGACTGTCTGAGGTGCTCTGGTGGCTGGGGAGGCTGCTTCCAGGAGAAAGAGAAGGATGAAAATGTCCGTAGAGGTATGAAATCACACCTTCAGACAGGGGAAATGGGCAGTTGTGATGTCCCCTGGAGCCCAGTGGGACTTTGGGAGAGAGGAGACATTGCCCCAGCATGGATTTTAGAGATTCCTTCTCTGTGGGCAGGTCTAGTGGGGGAGCCCAGAGGAGGCCGATCCCTGGTTCTTGCCATTTAGGCAGAGAGGAGCCAGAGCCGGTTGCCTAGAATGAGGCTGAGTTTTGAACGGAAGGAACAAGGTAGACCTTCCCTGCGATTTGCTGGTGAACTTCTGAGTGATATCCACCCAGGTGGGTGGCAAGAAACTCTGGAATGACCAGGCCCCATCGGTCCTGCATTGATCACCATGTCTCTTGCCCTGGCATTTGCTGTTTATCAGTACCCAGGAGCACCCAGGTGCGTCTTGCTTTTCTCCTTTGGTTGTTCACAGCCAAGGGCAAAGGTGGCCTGCTGGCAAAAGCACCTTTGTTTGCTCAATGAAGGGCAGTTCACAAAGGGCTGCTTTCTCCCCTGTTATCTCATTTGATTCCCCATGGCTGCCCCTGGGAAAAGTGCGTGTGATTATCCCCACTTTGCAGATGAGGGAACTGAGGCTCAGAGGGGCGGGCAGGTTGCCAAAATCAGAGGCTTGGGCTGGAACCCTGAATTTCTGATGGAGTCCAAGTCCCATGCCCTTGCACGTTACCAGAACCCGCGCCCTGATTCACTCCAAGCCTGGCCGCATTTTCGCTTGCAGCCTCAAAGAGGGCTGTTAGATGTCGATAGTATTGAGGGAATAGAACTGAGTCCATTCCTGGTGATTTATGAACTCTTACCTTAAAGCAAAGAGTTATTTCCATCCACAAGGCTTCCAAAGTCTGGATTGCATGCCTCACCTAGACAGGTACCTGCATGAAGTCATTAGGTGAGAAGGGCCCTCGAGTAGTACCCTGTGCTCAAAGGAGTTAAGACTTTGCTTACTTTGTTGGGGTTCCTGCTGTGAGCCAAACACTTTGTCAAGTGCTTTGTAAGCATTATCTCAAAGTCTGGGGACAAACCCTTTGGGATGGGTGTTACTATTTGCCTGTTTTGCAGGAGAGGTTGGCCCTGAGGCTCAGAGAGGTTAAGTAACTTGCCCAGGGTCTCACAGCTGGGAAAAAAATGTAAGTGGGATTTGAACCCAGCAGCCTGGCACTAGGGCCTAATTGCTGAACCACTTCACTTTTCGGCTAGAGGCTGTGGTGATTCCTCTCCCCTCTGTGTCACCTCTGTGTCCTGGGATGAGAGAATTCTTCAGGGCTGAAGGCTGTGTGCTCACCCATTTGAAGTGCGAGAACCAAGGTCCCTTTACCTCTCCCTTCTCTTTCAGATTGATCCCAAGGTGGCCTTTCCTCGGCGAGCACAGCCTAAGGTGGGTATGTCTGTGTCTGGGAAGAGCCGTGTTACTTCAGGTAGGGGTCTCCCTAGCATTCCCATCTATGGGAGATGCTTCTGGAACCTCTCTTGGGAGTGTTTCTGGAATAGACTGGGATGGGAAGATATATCCCTAATGTCCTGGCTTTGTGAATTGAAGACATCCTGCCTCTTTCCATCTGTGCTCTGGGATGGACTAGGAGGGGGCTGCATGTGTTGGGAGAAGGAGGAACCCCTCAGGGGGATTCATTGTCCTGTATTTGAAGCCAGTACCCTTCAGATCCTGAGTCGACTTCTGTCTGACCTCATAGATCACAGCCTCTAAACCCAGTGCCCCTGGGGAGGTCAAACCCAGGACAGACACCCCCTGAGGCTGAGCTAGAGTCAGGCCGGGGAGCTGTCTTTAACCCCCAGTCTCCTTCCTACATACAAGTTTGCTGTATTCAGCTTGCAAAGGGGGAAGGGAGCATGGAGTTGGTCACCTGTTGTCTTTCAACTTGGGTGAGTGGCTGCCCTCCCAGTGTTTTCTTTCTCCGGTGTGGTGGTGAGTTTTTCTGGGTGTGTGTGAATTCTGAGCAGTTGAGCTATATAGCATTCAAGACTTTTGGTGCAGGGTAGGGGTCTGAGATTTTATTCCAGGCCTCAAGGCAACTAGCCAAATATTAATTTTTAAATGGTTAAATATAGGGGACAGGAAGGAAGGCTGATTACAGAACAGGGAGCGGAGGACCCCTGAGTCTGCTGACTTGGGTCCTAGGACTAGGTCCTCCTCCAGGAGATCTCTTTCCCCCTTTGCGAGGGGTTAGGTAGGAACCAGGATGCTTTAAGGTCTTGAGCCAGTGGCTTCCACCATGGTGCCCAGCTCCTGCCACAGCAAAGGGAGAGGGATGAGTTGTAGGAGACAGGAAGGGGACATCTCTAGAAGGATCCAGCAGAGGGCCTGAAAGCAATTATGGAGCAGGTATTGGAAGGAAGCCGCACCAGGGAGCACGTGGTCGGAATTGGGTTAATTCCATTAAGCAGTTTGGTGACAGAAGGTGCTTTAGTGTTAGGATGGGGCTGGGAATTGCTGTGGATTAGCCATGCGCTCCTGGGGTAATTAGGACCATGTGTTCTTCCTAAAACGGGGCTGGGGCCACAGGGCTGCCAGAGGTTGGTTTGGGAGGAGGTTGAGGAGGAAAATGTCGGCGTTGAGTTCAGGGGAACCTTGTGATGGGCCTTGGTCTCTCCCAGGGGTGCTGGTGGGGGTCTCTGAGTTACACTATAGGTCTGGGTCACTAACCCGCCCCCTTCCCTGCATTGGTCCTTATGGAAGGCATTTTCCCCTACACAGACCCCAGGGATGGAGGCAGGAGGGAGGCACACTCAAGCCAGCCAGCGTGTGGGGTGCACAGCTGCCCATGACAGGCCTAGAGGCGGGGGTCCATGGGGGAGCTTGGTGGGGGGGGGGGGTTCTGAGTAGCTAGGGCCACAGAGAGCTTGTCAGCTGGTGCCCTGGCAGGAGGGCTCGAGCCCCTGCTGGTGGCAGTAGGCCACAGGACTCAGATGCCCACTTTCTCATTCCCTCCCCTTAACAGATGGTGACTCGAACGAAGAAGATCTTTGTGGGGGGGCTGTCAGTGAACACCACGGTGGAGGACGTGAAGCAGTATTTTGAACAGTTCGGGAAGGTGGGTCAAAACCGGGGGTGCTTGCTGGGGTTGCTTTCACGGGCTATGGAAGCCCTGCAGAATTGGTCAGTACCAGGCAGAGTCCAGCCAGGTCATTCCAATTCTTGCAAAAGAAAAAAGGTGAAAAGGGGACTGGGTCCTTTTGTGGGTGAGGCCAGGCTCCTGTCCTGTCTGGGCCCCAGCCTCTGGAACCAGCTCCAGGGAGAGAAGCCACACAGTAGCTGTCCCTGTTATTGCCCTTCCCCTGTGTTTTTCTCTTGCTTATCTTCATTCTCCCAAGGGAGGCCGCTCTCCCCTAGCCAGTTCAATCTAGTCACCCCTTAGCCTCCTGGGAGTTTGCACCTGTCCAGGCCACGGGCGGTTGCACCTTCCCCCACTTCTTCCTGGTGAGGATGATAAGGAGGCAATAAATATGATTCCCCATTGCACTCAGCACCCTGCTTGCACAGGTGGGAGCTGGGGGGAGGTGCTGATTCCCTAGCTATTTGAGGGGGGTCACTGAGGAGAGCACCCTAAATTCCTGATCAGGCCCAGCAGATTGGCTCTCAGCTCTGAAGTGCATTGAGCTTAAATTTCTGGACCGTTTAGTTTACGAAGGAGATGTGGCATCGTCAGACAATAGGGTGTCCCCAGAAAGGTGAGTGATGGGAGCATCAAGGTCCCATGGGGATATGGCAAAGAGGGGGCCAAGTTTTAAGACTGGGGGTGAAGGAGGGCTGCTGTGCTTAATGCTTAATGTCCCTGGTTTTCCATAATGTGAGACAGTCTACAGGCTTCGTCTCTACCTACCCATCAAGGCGTTTTCAGTTGCCTGCTAGGCCAAGGGCGGCAGCCTTGGGAATGGGATGTGAGCTGGGGACTGGGTGGGTTTCCAGGGCCCTGTCTCTAGGGGAGAAGAGGAGAGGGTGGGAGGGCCCCTGGCCAGCGGCTGCAGGCGGCGTGGGGGCCAGAGGCCTAGGCTCAGGCGCCTCCGTGGGGACCCGGGTACAGGACGGAGGGCAGGTCGGCGGTCTCGGCCCCAGAGGGAAGGGCGCTCCTGGGAAGCAGCAGGCCCGCTCGGCTCCGGCGGGGTGTCTTTGTGTCTGAGCGCCGAGCATTAGAGCTCGCACTAATCTGATCCAGCAGCTGTGATTGGAGGCCGCCTGCCCCCGGGGCCGGCGTTGCCATGGCAACCGGGCCCCAGGAGAAGCCGTCAGCGGCCGCGTCTTTTGTTCGGGCCTAAATCGGCGTTGGCATGTGAAACCGGCCCGGGGAGGCCAGGGGGAGCCGGAGAATAGGCTGCCAGGGAGCGAGGGGGACAGCCGGGAATGCCAAGGGCCCCGCGGCGGGGGGCCCCCCGCCCGGATCGAGGGGCCGCCGCCGAGGGGGGAACAATGGTCAGCCGCCATGGCTGCCACTCAGGCTTAGCGGCCGCCGAACTTGGCGGCTCCCACTGGTCAGCAGGCCCCGGCCGCCTCCCCTCCCCCTGCTGGAGCCCTCCTGCCCCCGGGTTCCCATGGAGACCAAAGCCTATTAAGGACACTGGGCTGGGAGCCTCCCTCCCCTCAGCTGGCCTCAGGAGGGGACACCAGTGGGGGTCCCCTGGACCCCCAGCCACTTTCCTTGCTCCCTGCCCTGGCCTCAACCCCACTGCCTCGCTAGGGGTCTGTCTAGCCAAGGCCAGGTTTGAAGGATCTGGGGGGCCAGGAGTGGTGGAGTTGGATGGTTGGGTGAAGGAAGGCCAGAAGGGCTGTGGATTTGGGCTGAATCACTCTGTGGGTCAGGCAGGAAACTAGAGCTATAGGATTAAGGAAGAGGGTGTGGCTTTTATTCATTATTTCAAAAATAATTACTGAGTACAAGTCAAGGTGCTAGATAGGATGGCCATCACCATAGCTGACCTGGGCGCTGTCCTCAGGGAACCTTCAAGAGCAAGGGGTATTGGGCTGTTCGTTCTCTTCCCCCATGTGACTGTGGGTAAGCCCCTCCCTAATAAAGGTCATAATAGCTATTACTTATTAAGCACTTACTATCCCAGGTAATGTGAGTTCGTGTTACAGGTGCTATGTCATTTATCTCCTCTATACAATTGATAAACACTGTTACACCCATTTTACAGATGAGGAAACCTAGCCCAAGGTTACCCAACCAGCAAATGCAGGATCTCAGATTCCATTTCTAGTCTGTCCTACTGGCAGCCTGTATTTTTATCACAACTGGATTTCTGGATTTCTCTTTTCCATTGTTAAAATAAGAGGGAGGGGAAGATGTGCGGAGCCCAAAGTTTCTATCCAGTTTGGCAGGTCTAGCTGATTTGGGATTGGACACAGAATGGGTCCATAAGGATGAGAGTGGCAGGGGTACTCTGCCGCAGGCCCCTGGAACAGGAAGCTCCTTGGGGAGGGGAGGTGTCATTTCCCTCTGAGATCCTCCAGGGACCCCGCTGCCTCCTGGCTTAGTGGGGTCCTGGATCTCCCAGGGGAGCGTCAGAGACCTGGTGCTGCTTGGCGCCTCAGGAGAGCTGGGGGACCACCCTGTTCAGAGGCTGCCTTCGCCACTTTAATGAGGCAGATGACAGGCTGGAAAGAGAGCCAAGGAGAGTGGAGGAGAGGCTGTACCCAATGGCTTCAGGAACTTTTCCTTCATCCCTTGGGTGTCTGACCATTTGGGGGAGGGTCAGCAGCTAAAATGGGATGTGTGTGTTGGGGGGGTGGAGGGATGGGGGTGGGCAGGGTACAGAAGCAGCCCTTGATTTCCACCAAGGACAAATCAAACCTTAGCTTAACCCCATGAGGTGGCTGACATTGGCTGAAGAATTAAGAGGACAAGAAGGAAGTACCAGCTGTAGGCAAAGGGAGGGAAATGAGACTGCAGGAGGGAAGCTAAAGCCTTTGGCTGTCCATGTATCCAAGGGGGTGCCATGAGGGAGTAGCAAGAAGAGGAGACTGGGGTGCAAGGGAGGGGGGATCATGTAGCCCACTCCCCTTCCTCAGCCCCTGCCCCTCCCCCAGTCAGTGGGAGGCAAGCAGCCCAGGCACTGAACTCTACTTGCTTTAATTACAGCCTCTAGCAAAAGGAAACCTCAATTAGAGGAAAAGATCTGTACCAGCAGAGGGGAGTCAGGTCTGGCTGGAGTGGCTGCTGTCCTCCTGGCCTTTTGCAGAAAGGGAAGAGGCTTTCATTGCCCCGTTTCTATCTTGCTCCCATATTTCCTTCTTGAGCACCCACTCCGTGCCTCCTCCTCCTCCCAGGCTTGCTCTAGGATTTGCTGTGTGACCTTGGTGGGTGACTTTACCTCTCTGAGCCCACTTCCTGATCTACAGAACGAGGCTCTTCCATTGCCGGGACTGTAGAGAGGATGATGGGGCCAAGAGGCAGGCATGTATTCGGTGCTTCGTATTTGCAGGCTTGTCCGTGGAGAATCTGGTGGTTGGTTGGGAGGTGCCTTGGCATCCAGGTGGGGTAGCGGATGGAAAGTCATCCCCTGCACTGGGAGCAGGTTCAAAGCGAAAGCCTAGCCTGCACGAGAGGCACGTGGGTGTGGGAGCCCCTGCTGCGGGCTTGTGGCGGGTACCCTGGTCTCTGGTGGGTCCACCATGGCGGGCTCTGTTTCAGGTGGACGATGCCATGTTGATGTTTGACAAAACCACCAATCGGCACCGAGGTGAGTGTGGCGCCTCCCCCTCCCCAGGCCAGGCTGGGGGCCTGTGGTCAGCCTGGGGGCTGCAGGTCACAGCTGCCCTTTCATCTTGCCTCCTGACATCCTATCCCCAAGGATCTGCATCCTCTCCAGGGCCTGGTCTTACAGAAGGCTTTTGTCCCGCCGTTTCCTGTGCTAGAAACTCGCCCAATTGCAGACACCCGAGAGGAGCAGAGGAGCAACCTCCCCCTTCCAAACTGAGCCCTCCCCACACACCCCCACCCCCGCCCCAGCCGCTGTCTGCCCAGCCTGTGTCTGCTGGGGCTTTACCTTGTCCCTGGTAACCAGAGCTTAGGCCAGGCCGCCCCAGGGTCAGGCTGACTGCACAGCCTCCAGCAGTCTGCTCCTGCGTTCCACCCCCACCAGCGGGCTGAGCCCAGCCCCCAACTCCCTTGCCCCTGAACCTGTGAGCATCTGGGCCACAGTGTGCATTGCCTGGTTGTTTTTCTCCCAGGGGCCTTGCCTTCTGAGAAATCCCATTCCAACCCCTGGGGCACACCCCGGAGGACATGGTTTGTTTCTCCAGTTGCTTCAGGGTGTATTAGCCTGTTTGGGGATTGGGGTATGTGCTAGGGTGGGTATGTGTGTATGTATGTGTGTATTTGTATCTGTGCGTGCGACGGTATCTGTGTCTGAATCTTTGTATGTGTTTGGTGTGTCAGGGTAACTATTCACGTGTAGAGGGGGCCTTTGTGAGTGCTGCCAGGTATCTGTATGATATGTGGGTCCCTAGGTGTGTGTGTGTGCATGCGTGTGCGCGTGCATGCGGGCATCTGTGTGTCATAATGTATGTGACCGTGTACAAACATAGGTTTGTGTGTGTACGCTTCTGTGTAAATGTACATAAGTGTTTGCGTGTGCTCTTCCTTCCTTTGGAAAGCACCTGAGAAGGAGAAAAGGCACGTTGAGTGTATTTTCATGATGGCTGTAATGCTTTCTAATTTGCTCTGTGACCTTGGACAAGTCACTTCACTTCCCTGAGCCTTGGCTTTCACATCTGTAATGCAGGGGCTAGAAACCCCGCTTCAGCAGGCAGGGAGTTGAAAGAAGAAGAGGAGAAAGACTCCCAGGCTGTGGGCAGAGGCTTTTGTTAACTCTCAGGCAGTGGCCTGTAAGAGAGGAGTGCTGGTGTGGTATCACTGGAGGCTGGGTTTTGACCATAAGCCCTGGTTTTTGTCCCCTTTGTGCTCTAGGGTTCGGGTTTGTCACGTTTGAGAGCGAGGACATCGTGGAGAAAGTGTGTGAAATCCACTTCCATGAAATCAACAACAAAATGGTGAGGGGGGACTGGACGGGTGGAGGTGCAGAGAGAGATGGGGCGGCGGGGGGGGGGGGTCTCAGAGGTTCTAGAGGCCCGCAGAAGGGAATCACAGTCCATGGGGCAGAGCCGGGTTCTCCTACCCCCTGAAGATCTGGACACTGAAGCCCGTGTCTCCTTGTGGTTACAAAACATGGCTGGTGGAGGCGAGAGGCCCGATTAACCTTTCTCACTCTACCACTTGCCAGTCTCGTTAGGCAGATGATCTCCTGCTTAGAGCCCTTTTCCACATCTGTGCCCGTAGTACCCCCCTCACGGGCTTGGTGTAAGCCACTACGGCCTGCAAAACCATTTATGTAATCTCTGGCACCCAGCGAGCACTCCATGAATGGTATCTACGAACCTAACAGACAGGAGGCCTGCTAGGGAACCAGAGGATCTGCGACCCTGCTGTCTGGAGGAGGGACTAACCCTCAGGTCTCATTGCAGGTGGAATGTAAGAAAGCTCAGCCAAAAGAGGTGATGTCGCCAACGGGCTCAGCCCGGGGGAGGTCTCGAGTCATGCCCTATGGGATGGACGCCTTCATGCTGGGCATCGGCATGCTGGGTATGTGCTAGGCCTGCACCTGTGGCTACTTCCTGCCCGGAACTGCTCCCAGGGCTCCTAGGGGCTGCGTAGGTGTTGCCTCTCCTCTGTGGGCTGCCCTCCTGCATGAGTCCCTGGGCTGGAGTGGGGACCGAGGTGCTCAAGCTTCCCAGCCCACCCAGGGTGGGGCGATTTGGTTGTGGGGTGCTGCCCTCTGGCGGTGGCCAGAAAATGGCTCAGCTGCTCCTTCATCGATCCTTCTGTCCATCTGTCCACTTGTTCATCCATCCATCCAACTCGTAGTGATTGAGCAACTATAAAATGCAGGGCAGTGTGCCAGCAAAGAGAGCAGTGACTTTCCTTGGAGCTTTGTGGTCTGGCAGGGAAAACAAGTAAGAATATGAATAAATAGGGTTGGATGGAGTTTAGGGGGCGCAGAGGGCATGGGCGTAGGGAACTGGGACGGAGGTTTGGAGAAGCCAGAAAGAAAGTTCCATTTAAGTTGAGGGCTGTGGGTTGAGTGGGTGCTGGTTGCAGAAGGTCAGGGGAGAAAGGAAGGGTGCAGTGTTACAGGCAGAGGGGAGAGCATTTACAAAGACCCAGAGACTTTGGGGAAGGCAAAAAGAAAGCAGCTGCTTCTTGTCACTCAACTGATACCCACTGAGCAGTTTCTGAGAGGCAGGCCCTGCCCTCCTGGGCTTTCCCATCAAGCAGGAGGCAGGAGTCACTAGGTTTATAGCATAGCCTTGGGAGGCTGTGGGAGGTCCAAGGAGGCACCCAAAACCCACCTGGTGGTCCGGGAGGCCCCCTGGAGTAAGTGCAGGAGGCCATGAGCCTTGGAAGGTAAGCAGGATCCAACAGTGCTGGGGGCCCACAACGATGGGGGGGTGACATCTGAGCTGGGCGCCCCAGGGAGCTCACAGTCTCCCTAGAGAGACAAGATGCATACACACAGAAAGAACTATGTAGAGGAGTCTTTTTGCCAGGAATGGAGGAAAGGGAGCTCTGGGAATTCAGAGGTGGTGGTGGGGGCACGGGGGCCATGGCATGGGCTAGGGGTCAGGATTGGGATCACAGATAGAGTGGATGAGGAAAGCAGCATCCACACAGGGCACTGTCTTTGCTTCAAGTTTTCTTTTAACTCTCTATTCAGAAGTAATTTCAAACTTTGAGAAGAGTTGCAAAAATGTGATACAAAGAATATCCATGTACCTTATGGTTAATATTATATCCCATTTGCTTTTACCCATTGCTCTCTCTGTATGCGTATATATGTGTGTATATATAAATGTACAGACACACGCACATAATACACTGGTGGTTTTCCACTGAATCATCTGAGCTTAAATCACATGCATTATGGCCCTTAGCCTGTAAATACTTCAATGTGTTATTTCTTAAGATTAGGGGTCTTTCGTCCATGAAGCCACATGATAATAATCCACTTCATACAATTATGTTTTTCCAATATTTTAAGCTATTTCCCAGTTTGATCAGTTGGCCCAGTAATGTTCTTTATAGCATGTTTTTGCCCCCAAATAGGATCCGGGCTAGAATCCGATATTGCGTTCAGTTGTCTCGTCTCGTTAGCCTCCTTCGGTCTGGAACACTGAGACCCGTTTTCTTTTCAAGGTGATTCATTAGCTGGTTTCACCCCATCTTAAAAACGACAAAGAAGGAAAGAGTGGTTAAGAGACTTAGAACCAGTTAGCTCTGAATGCGAATCCCCGTGACACCATTATTACTCTCATTGTTTGTTATTATTACTCTGTGATTTTTCTGGCAAAGCCGCAGTTACATATTAGCTGCGTACATGTAGCAGGAACCAGGAGCTTGTCCTGGAGATAAGAAATAAAAGATGGGGAAGACAGAAAATCAGCTCTTTGAAAAAGCCCTGGGAGGCGCTCCTGGCTGGCTTAGTTGGAGGAAAGCGTGACTCTGGATCTCAGGGTTGGTCCTGAGATTGAGCTCTGTGTTGGGTGTGGAGATTACTTAAAATAAAAACAACAACAACAACAAAGCCCTGGGATAAGTTCAGATAATGTTATCGTTGGTGCTATGGGAAAATTGATAAATATTGTAACTGATGGGAGGGAGGAATCTTGTGGAATGACCTCTCCAAGGAGGTGACATTTGAGCTGGGACTTGCACAATGACAAGGACACAGTCACGGGAAAAACTGGCAGGGGGAGAGTGTTCCAGGCAGAGAAAACAGCCTGTGCAAAGCCCTGAGGTGGGAAGGAGCTTGGTGGCTTTGAGAAACAGCAGGGAGGCCAGTGTGACTGGAGGAGAGTGCAGATGAGGACAGAAGGGAGGCAGGAGTCAGCGCAAAGGGTCTTGGTCAGGGTTTGGACTATTCTCAGCCAATGTGTCTCCTCTCTGAGCCTCAGTTTTCCCCACCTGTAAAATGGGGTTCCTGATAGTACCTGCCTCTTAGGATTCCTGTGAGGCTTAAGGAGAGAATGAAGTATGCAGTGGGCTTAGCCCAGGGCTTGGCATGCAGAAGGTGTTTGGTAAATGTGGCTGTTATCTGTGCTGTGAGGTGGGGAGGGAAAAGAGTGGCTCAGATCCTTCCCTGCTGAGCAGGGTCGCAGCACTAGGTGAGGCCTCTGACACTAGCCCCCTCATCCTATCAGGTTACCCCGGTTTCCAGGCCACAACCTATGCCAGCCGGAGTTACACAGGCCTCGCCCCTGGCTACACCTACCAGTTCCCTGGTAAGTCCTGCTTGGTTGTCCCTCTGCTGCCAGCATGTCCCCGGTTCCCCCCGGCAGTCTGACTCCTCAGGGCGGTGTCTGGGGGTGCATGGCTGGGGGAGGGCGGGTCTGCCTGCTGGAGGCTTGGAAGGAAGGGCATGTCTGAGGAAGAAGCACCTTTCCCCACCCATCCCCTCCCCCACTCCTCCCCAGAAGGTGGGGACCCCCCCCACCCCCACGTGGTCCTGCATGGCACGGTTCTCTCTCAGGCAGATCTTTGCCTGCATCCTGCCTTTTCTCCCCTCATCACGCCATTCTGAGTTGCCACTTCCACCAAAGAAGGCATCAGACTTGTGGCAGAAGCCTCCCTGAGGGCCAACGCCAGTTGTGTCTTTTATGGTCACACTTACAATGACCACGTGCTCCGCTGAGCCCTCTAAAGGCCCACAAGACTTTTCACGCCCCCCACCCCGCCATGCGGAAAAGCAATCCAAAACCTTGATGATCATCACCCTCATTTGTAATTCAAAATAAAAATAACACTAGACCTTAAAGTAAGTGGCAGGAAGCCCAACACAGCTCTGAATTTTGCCATGGTGGGTCTTCAGTGTTGTTTTCTTTGAAATATCAGACATCAAATTTTTGCATGCTTTTTTTTTTTTCTTTTTCCATTTCTGGTTTTTTTTTTTGGCGGGGGGGAGCCTTTTTAAGAGGGTCCCTGAGCACTTGCATCCTTTGCCTCTTGGGCTGTCCAGTTTGGCGTCCTTCCTCGACACGATGTTGTCTAATCCTGACAACACTCACGGGGGAGGGATGACCATCCTCATCTTACAAGTGAGGAAACAGTCTCAGAGAGCAAATGGCCTTGCTAAGACAACCCATCATCTAGAAGGATGTGGAGCTGGGAACCCAGCCTGAGCCTGACAGGCTCTGGGGTCACGGTCTTTTCATCAGTGCTGCCTCGCCAGCTCCTCCCCACAAACAAACAAACAAACACACACACAGGAGAAGAGGAGGATTCTGGGAGGCGTTTTGGTGCAATCTTAACATCTTTTAAGAAACACCAGAACAGTCGCTCCGGCATTGGCCAGCGCCCAGGGTGTAGGTGGCAACTCCGCCTGTTCTTTTTCTCTCTGTCTCTCCTCTGCCTTCTCCACCTTTGCCTGCTGGGCACCGTGCTCTCCCCATCCCAGCTCTGGGGTCCTGTGCATGGCCTGTCCCCCTACCCAGTGTCCCTGTGGGTGCACCCGTCCTCCCTGGGCCGTGCCCCAGGGGCCTCCCCTGGATCTTCCTAAGCTGTTTTACGTTTCATTTTAGAATTCCGTGTAGAGCGGACCCCTCTCCCGAGCGCCCCAGTCCTCCCCGAGCTTACAGGTCAGTCGCTCGGATTTCCTACACCTCACAGGCCACACGGGGAGAAAGAGAAGGACCCAGGGGTCTTCCCCGGGGAAAGCTAGTGGGACCCTTTTCTCCTGTCCAGCAGCGCTCTGGCTGTGGGGACAACAGACTCTGCCCGGGCCCTGGCCAGTCTGTGTAGCTCATGGCCCTGAAGGGTGGGGCATGGGGCCAAGCCCAGCAGATGGAGGAGAAATCACTCATTCATCTATTTGGCAAATATTTATCTAGCGCCTCCCATGTGCCAGGCACCGAGTAGACTAGACTCTGGGATCCAGCAGTGAAGAGCCAGGGCCTCACACTCAGACTAGAGTGGGCCCGGTGGGGTCTTGGACATACTGGAGTGCGCATGCCTCCACTCTGTGCCAGCCGACCCTTGCCGGGAGGGGATGCCCACCTAGTAGTCGGAGATCTCAGTTTCTGAGGGAAGCCAGAAACCCAGCTTTTGCTTCTGAATGGATTTTTCAATAGTTCTCAGATGTTGGCAACGAATTTGAAATTGTTAAGCCACTGCAGGCCAAACGAAACCTTTGTGAGGGCCAAATCCAGCCCTCAGGCTGCCCCTTTGCAGCTTCCGAACAAGCTGCCTGAAGGCGCACTTGGCCTCCTCCGGAGCCATCTCTCCCCCTGCAGCTTTTGCTTGGGACCCGCAGCCCCTGATTCGGGGCTGGGGGCGTGGCCAAGTCCGGGGGGGGGGGGGGGGGCGGGGCATGTGCGGCGAAGGTAGGCTGCAGGGGGTTTCTCTGTTCAACCTGCTTCTCCCCCACCTCACCCCAGACTCTCCCCCCCAACCTGGCCGTGTGTGGAGGACGTGAGCATGGATGCAGCTTGCGATGACTCCTTCCTTCCAAGGGGTGCTCGGGGGGCCCCCCAAAATGGGGAAAGGGGAAGAAAACCAGGGGGTGAGGAAAGGGGAAGGAGTAAAGAGTCCTGTAGGTGGGGGGTGGTAGAGGCCCCTCCCTGAGCAGAGTTGGGTTTGACCCGCCATGGAGATGTTGGAAGGAAGATTCTTTTCTCCTCATTTCAGAACTTTGTGCTGAGGACCTACTACGTGGGTTACTCAAGCCAGGCCCCAGGGGCACGGCAGGGACAAGACAGGGCCAGGCCCTGCTCTCACAGGACGTGCAGTCTAGAGAGGAAACCAAATACTTATTATATAAATGAGTAATCCCTTACAGTTGTGATAAGCAGTTACTCAGGTTGGCGCTGACTTTGCTTTGTGGAAATGCCTAACCAGACTGAGAACCAGGCATCAGAGCCCAGCCCCTGCCCTTAAAAGAACTGAGAGAAGACATGTCCCCTTAGCGGCTGGCTTGGTGCAGGGGCAGAGGCTTTCCCTGGAGGCCTGGAGTTTGGACTCTTCTCTTGCCTTCAGGAGATGTGGGTGTTTCCTTCAGGCATTCAGGAGACATTTATCATGCCAGATGCTCTTCCAGGTGGGGATGCAGCCATGAATGAGACGGACAAGGTCCCTGGCTCTTGGAGCTGGTATTTCAGTGGAGAGAGACGGCAGTAAATAAGTAGACAAATGAATGAAGTAATTGCAGAGGGTGAGAAGTCGCACAGGGAAAATAAAACCGGGAGATGCTTTAAGGCCTTAGGGCCAAGGGCAGGAGGCTGCCTTAGTGAGGGTGGCCAAGGAAGGGGATGTCGGGGTGAGGAGCCAACTGTATTGGCTCTTAGGCAAGGCTCTTCCACAGTTTAGGAATCATGCTGTCCCCAGACTTTAATCCCCCAGACCCAAGGCTGTTCAGGGGCCATTTCCGGAGTCCCTAGCCCCAATCCAGTACCAGTTCTGGGTCAAGGTCGCCAAAACAGCCCCACGGGGTGCATTTTGGAATGGCAGACTGTATTCCTGAGGGCAAATGCCAACTCAGAGGACTCTGGGTGGGGTGCGGCCTCAGGGGCTGCAGTGTCAGAGCCAGGCGGTAGAGGGCGCTCACCCACTACCGCAGCCCCAGGGAGCTCCAGGTTCAAGCCAACCCCTTATTTAAGAAGAGGAGCCTCTTAGGGGCGCCTGGCTGGCTTAGTCCTAAAAGCATACAACTCTTAACCTCCGGGTTGTGAGTTCAAGCCTCCCATTGGGTGTAGAGATATCTTAGGGGTAAAAAGAAGAGGTTCCTTTTACTCCTTCAGCATTTATTAAACACCTACTGTGTGTAAGACAGGGTGCTGGGCACCATGGAGGTGGACAGCAAACAAGGATATAGCAGTATCTGTATGTGAAGAAGGGAACTAGAGAAGGAGCTAGGGGAATTTGGGGGAGATAGTGGTCGTTTCCGTTTCGGAGGCCGTCAGGGGAGCCCTGAGGCGGGGAATTGGGTGCATATAATTTACCAAGGGCACCGGCCTCAGGAGAAGGACAGTGAGTGAAACAGGAGAGGCAGAAGGTCTGAAGCTGAACTGTGGCCTGGACTGGAGTCTGGCTTCCGCCCGATCCCACCGGGAGCTCTGAGACAGGCACTGCACCTCAGCGTTGGCCCCACCTTGAAGCAACAGGCCTGGCTTCTTGTACCCAATGTCAGTCAGCCAGTGGCTGCAGTTGCCTGGGGTTGGGTTGCTGGCCATAAGCTCCTGGGAGCCTCTGGGCTAGGTGGTCCCGTCCGGCCAGCGGCACTCTCTAGAGAAGGGGGCATCACTCAGAGCAGCTCAGGGTGGGGTGCCCCGCTCCCCACCCTGAGTTTTGCGTTGTTTAGCTGTGTTGCTTGAGTTTGGGGGTGGGAGGAAACTGAGGTTGAGTCCATTGCTAGGAAGCTGTCCACTCTCCTTCCTTTCTCTACCCATTCTGTGGGTCAGGGCACAGCTGGTGCCCTAAGGGAGTGCCTTCTGCCTCGATGCGGATGCCTTGATGCTGCCCAGAGGGGGCCTCCATTGTCCACTTCAGTCCCCTCACCCAGCACACTGAAGTGCCCATACCTTTCCTTTCAGCCATTCCTCTCACTGCTTACGGACCAATGGCGGCAGCGGCGGCAGCGGCGGCTGTGGTTCGAGGGACAGGTGAGGACTTCTGGGGTGCAGGAAGCAGAGGAGAGGTGTTCGGGGCAGAGAAGTCTAGAGGGGAGAGGAGGTAGCTACTGCCACCCTTTTCAGAAGGACTTATTTATTTATTCCTTTGCTCCCCAAGTATTAATAGAGCACCTGGCGAGCCAGCCAGGAAGGAGGCTCCTGTCCTCCAGAGCTTACAGGCTGGTGGGGGCATCGGGTGTGACAGAGGCAGGCATTCTGAAGGACAAGCCTGCTCTGCTGGAGCGAGCCTGGTACCAGAGGTGCTCACAGCTGGAGCCTCTCAGGAAGGCTTCCAGGAGGACACACCCCTTAACTTCTAACTTGAAGGCAAAGTGGAAGAAAAGTGTCCCAAGCAGAGGCCAGTTAGCCTGGGGGGAGTACAGGAACAGGGCGTGGGGAGGACAAGCAGGAGGAACCAGGCCCTGGGAGACACAGAACATTGAAGCAGTGGAGCGATGTCGATTCTGGAAAATGCACTGGGCTGCCAGATGGGTGGCGGTGGATGGACCTGGGGAGACCTCCAGGGAGTGGACCCACCATCCCGCTGGGATGTAGGGATAAGGGAGAGGGAAGGCTCAAGGTCATGTTAAGTGGGTGGAACAGGTTTTGTTTTGGGGGGGGTGTCGTGGGGCAGCAGTGGGCGCCGGGGCTATCACCGTCTTCTTTCTGGGTTGCCAGGCTCTCACCCCTGGACGATGGCTCCCCCTCCAGGTTCAACTCCCAGCCGCACAGGGGGCTTCCTGGGGACCACAAGCCCTGGCCCCATGGCCGAGCTCTATGGGGCAGCCAACCAGGACTCAGGGGTCAGCAGTTACATCAGCGCTGCTAGCCCCGCCCCCAGCACCGGCTTTGGCCACAGTCTTGGGGTGAGTGGCCAGTCCTGGAAGACTCACAAGTTGGAGGAGGGAGAGGTTTTGTCTGTTTGCAGGGGCAGAAAGGGGCTGAGGGAGGATGGATGGAAAGAGACGGTCACCAAGGGGGAACAGTGGGGCTCATCATTCAATCCATGGGCCAGGCATGAGGCGGGCTCTGGGGATATCATGCAGACTCACTGTCTCTGGCCACATGGAGGCTAGATTCTAGCTCAGGGGTGCCCTCATTTTAACCAGGGTACTGGAAATACGCAGATCCCAAGCCCTACCCTAGAGTGTCTTCTCCTGCGTCTGCAGTGGGGGCAGTATGGCAGGGCTAGACAAGGGTCTGTGCCTCACCCTCGGTGTTCCTCAGAAGAGAGGAGCCCCTGGGTCTTCTCTGCATCCCTAGGAATTCTAGGAGTCAAATTCTTTTCTCCCCCAGGGCCCCTTGATTGCCACAGCTTTCACCAATGGGTACCACTGAAGCAGGAAACAGGTGGCAGGAGGTGAGGAGGTGGGCCAGGGTCTGGGGTGGGGGTGGCACTGGGGAGGCTGGCACCCAGCAGCGCCATCTGGCACACAGACTTTGTCCCCGCCTTCATGGAGCCCACGGTGCAGGGAGGAGACAGAACTTTCATGACCGCAGTGGTCAATGAACCTGAAAAGCTGCTCAGCCTGCTACATAAAAAACGTAAATGAAAACCACAATAAGGCAGCCAATGCCACCTGTCAAAGATTTTTTTTTTAAGATGCCTAATGCCCAACATTGATGAGGGTGTAGGAGAAGCAACAGGTAACTTGTCTCAGGGTTTCCAAAGAGCGACTGGCACTGTTAATCCAGATGTTGAACATTCATGCCCTTGACCCAACGAGTCCACTTCTAGGCATTTATTTAAAAAACTGCAAAAAATCGGGGCACCTGGCTGGCTCAGTTGGAAGAGGGTGTGATTCTTGACCTCAGGGTCTTGAGTTCTAAGCCCCATGTTGGGTGTAGAAATTACTTAAATAAAATTTTTTAAAAAATATAAAAACTGCAAAACACTGAAATGCCCATCAAAGGGAGAGTGAGTACTAAGTCAGCATATGCATACGCCGGCATATTACACAGCCATGAAAACGGGATACTGTCAGCATACATGCATGTCCAGAGAGAGAGAGAGAGCGAGAACTCTGTACACATGGTCACAGGGGGATCCTGGGTGAACCTGGGGCATTTCGTTTGTTCCTTCCTTCCTGCGTTGATTCCAACGAGCATTAGTGGAGCACTGTTTCAGGAAAGAGGGATGTAGGAGACAGACAAGGCCCCTCTCATGCTACAGACAAAAATCAAGTGGACCAATGATGAACATCCAAATTACGTGTGAAGAGGCTGCTTGAGATTAAAGGTTCAGAAAAAGTGCCTCCGAGAAGGCACTACTTGAATAAATCCAGTCATGCAAAAATCTAGGGAAAGGGCATTCCTAACAGGGAACAGAGCCTGAGAAGTGTGTGAACAGAGCTCTGCTAGGAGAGGCTGCTCGTGTTACAGGAGCCCCTAAGAGAGGCGGGCGCGGAGACACGTAGACCCGGCGTCCTCTTAACCTCCTGTTGTGTTCCAGCGCCCCAGCCTGCAGCTGACTGAGGACCACAGTGAGCCAGCGAGGGGGCGGGGACACCTCAGCCGCAGCCGCCGCCCCGTCCCCCGCAGCGACTCGGACCGCTACTGCCTGCCCCCCACTCCCTGGGCCCAGCCCCTGCCCTGCTGCCCCCGGACAGCGTCTGGCTCCCCTACTAACCTCCCCCTCTTCCGCCCTTGGCTCCCCTCCCCCACCTGCCCCTCTCCTGCCCGCTTTTATTTATTTTGGATTAGCCGGTTGCCCCCCACCTACCTGGTTCTCCCCTCTCAGGTCTGTGCCCCTCCCTTCCTGCCGCGCCCCCATAGGACCCTCCCCCCCAGAAGGCTTTTGTATTTGTGCATAGCTAGAGTGAGGGCGGAGGGGGTCTGCTATAGGCCCGCAAGCCCTATGCTTGTTTTTTATTCTGGTTTCCCCTCCTTTTCTCTTTACTTTTTTTTTTTTTTTTTTTTAAAGAAACCGTTTTTTAAACTATTTCTAGGTTTGTGAATGTGAAGCCCCAGGCCGCAGGGGGCAAGGGGCCAGGTGCCCCCCCACCAGCTGAGAACAAAATGTCTATGTGGGTGTGGGCCCCTGGCCACCTCCCTCCAGCCCTGGAAAGGAGGACAGGGTTGTGTAGGCCAGGCCAAGCCCCTGGAACCATCCCGTCCTGTATCATATGTAAATACTGTGAGGTGAAGCCCCTACCCCTCTCTAAGACCCCTTGGGGGTGAGGGCATTGCCTCACCCCACCTGGCAAAGGTCTCCCCCTGTGTTTCTGTCTCCTCCTCAGACACCGTTACTGTAAGCTTGCAAGCCTCAACTGTGGCCAAGGCAAGCCCGCTCACTCAGGCCCTAGGGGTCAAGGCCTTGGGCCTGCTCACCCCAAAAACCCAGCGTGGGGGCAAGGGGTGAGGAAAGAGAAGGGCTCGCCCGGAGCCACTGCTGGAAAGGAATTAACTCTCCAAAGGTCTCCCCCTGCCCCTACCTAGGTCAGGCCTTCATGGTTTCTGCTCTGAGCCCCCCACGAGCGGGCATCAAGGGGGCACTTTGGGAAGGGGTGGAACCCAGGGGATAGCAAAGGGCTTCTCAGGGAACCCCCACATTTTCTCACTGAAGTTTCCCACCAGGATGGTCCCTTGGCAGCCCGAGCCCCCCCAAGTCCCCTTCAAAGGAAAAAGAGGCTCAGGGTCTGACTCTTCATGAACAGTGAGTGACCTGGCTGGCTTGGCAGGGCTGAGGCCTACCTACCTATTGTTGTCCCTCTCTCTGTGTCCCTCTCTCCCAGGTCTGAGGCTGGGGACCTAAGTTCTCTTCCCCATCACAGTTCCCATCCCTGAAAATCCCCTTTGGAGAGTTAATTGTCTGTGTGAGGTGCTTAACCTATTAGCCCTGAGAACACAAAGCAATAATCTTTGTTACTGAGATGCGCGGCTGTTCGTGGTTTTTTTTTTTTTTTTTTTTTAATGTTTCCTAATAAAAGAGAAGCTGCATTTTATTGGTTTTTAATTTTCTACACGTTTGAGCTGAGTCGTGAGAGACTCAGCTTCCTTCTCCTCCCTTTCTTGTGACCCCATCCCACCCCCACTGGGCCCACCTATGGGCTCAGGGCCCTGGAATTCCGTTTTCTGATTTGTTTGGGGAATTTTTTAAAAAAGATGTTACACGGTGTTTTGAAGCCAGCAAGTTACCACCCTCCGGTGTCTCTTCTCTCCACATCTGTAACTTCTTTTTCCAGGTTTTATTTTCAGTTTTAAATTCCTAATAAATTATTTGAAAACGGTGCTGGCTTTGTGAGTCTCTTCCAACTCTGTGTACGTTCAGGTCCAAGTACCCCGGTGACAGCCTGTTTTCTCCTACCTTCTGTTCTTCCCTTGAAAGTCTACACTTTCCATTTGACCCAGCTTCCATTGACAACTTCTTGAGCAGCCTCAAAGCTTACTGTTGTTGATGACATAGAACTTCATGCCTATTAGGATGGCCATTATTTTTTAAAAAGGGGAGGGGAGGGGAGATAACAAGTGTTGGTGAGGACGTGGAGAAATTGGAAACCCCATGCATTGCTTGTGGAATGGAAAATGGTGCATCTACGATGAGAAACAGTCTGGTGGTTCCTCAAAAAGCTAAATACTGAATTACCATATGATCCAACAACTCCACTCCTAGGTATATACACCCCAAGGAATTGAAAGCAGGGACTCTCACACTTACACACCAGTGTTCATAACGGCATTACCCACCATGGCCAAAAGGTGGATACCATCCAAGTTTCCAACAACAAATGAATGGATAAGTAAAAATGGCTCTGGCCATACAATGGAATATTACTCAGCTAGAAAAAGGAGTGAGGTGCTCGTACATGCAGCAACCCAAATGAGACTTAGACCTTATACTAATGAGGGGCACCTGGCTGGCTCAGTAGGCAGAGCATGCGACTCTTAATCTCGGGGTTGTAGGTTCAAGCCCCACATTGGGTGTAGAAATAACTTAAAATATATTTAGGGGCACCTGGGTGGCTCAGTGGTTAAGCCTCTGCCTTCGGCTCAGGTCATGATCTCAGGGTCCTGGGATTGAACCCTGCATCGGGCTCTCTGCTCAACGGGGAGCCTGCTTCCTCCTCTCTCTCTGCCTGCCTCTCTGCCTGGTTGTGATCTCTTTCTCTGTCAAAGAAATAAATCTTAAAAAAAAAAAAAGAAAGAAAATAAGGAGCTTGCAACTCTTAATCTTAGGGTTGTGGGTTCAAGCCCCACGTTGGGTGTAAAGATTGTTTAAAAAACAAACAGGGGTGCCTAGGTGGCTCAGTCAGTTAAGCATACTCTTGATTTTGGCTCAGGTCATGATCTCAGGGTCATAAAACTGAGCCCTACGATGGGAACTGTGCTGAGTGTGGAGCCTGCTTAAGATTCTCTCTCAGGGGGGTGCCTGGATGACTCAGTGGGTTAAAGCTTCTGCCTTTGGCTCAGGTCATGATCCCAGAGTCCTGGGATAGAGTCCCAAATCTGGCTCCTTGCTCAGCGGGAAGCCTGCTTCTCCCTCTGCCTGCTGCTCCCCCCTGCTTGTGCGATCTCTCTCTCTGACAAATAAATAAAATCTTTAAAAAAATAAGAAATATGAATAAATGTTAGTTATCTGTTGCTACAGTCCAATATTTAAAACAAAGAAACAAACAAAAACTTAGCATCGGACCCTTTGCTCCTGTCGCCTTTAAGAGAATCTTAAGAGGGTAAAGTGGAGGGCACCTGGGTGGCTCAGTGGGTTAAGCCTCTGCCTTCAGCTCGGGTCATGGTCTCAGGGTCCTGGGATCTAGGCCCGAATCGGGCTCTCTGCTCGGCGGGGAGCCTGCTTCTCCCTCTCTCTCTGCGTGCCTTTGTGCCTGCTTGTGATCTCTCTCTCTCTCTCTCTCTCTGTCAAGTAAATTCTAAAAAAAAGAAAAAAAAAGAGGGTAAATTGGAAAAACTGGCTGAAGTCCGAGTATGAGTATAGCCGAATGGTCAGATGTGGGGGTTCCAACACACAGCTCTTCCCCTTCCTAGCTGAAGGACATTGAACGGGATCCCAAACCTCCCTGAGCCTTAATTTTCTCATGTGTCGAAGGAGAAGGATAAAGGCCACATATTGTAAGATTCCATTTATAATCCACAGAGACAGGAAACGGATCGGGAGGGGTGGGGGGACAGAGAATGGGGAGTAACTGCTTAATGATTAAAGGCTGGCCTCTGAGGTCATAAACGTGTTTTGGAACTCGAGGCACTGGTGGCACAACATTGGGAATGTACTAAATGCCACTGAATTGTTCACTTTAAAATGCTTAATTTTATGTTATGGGAATTTCACCTCGATAAAAAGAGAGTGCTAGCCATAGCTTGAGTGATTGAGAATTAAATGGGGGGCG